CAGATGTTTGTGGAATGCACTTGGTTGCTGCGTCAGTAAGAAAAGCCGTGAAGTACTGCACAGCTTCATGTATGCCTAATCCGCATATGTCAGTCCAATTTAAGTGAGTAAGCTTTCGAAATTGTTCCCAGTCGGCTTTGTTTACCAGCCATTTGGGAACATGTGGAGGACATTCATTTATTATTGGTGTACTCAAAACTAAAGGGAAATGGTCACTTCCGTATGGATTATTTATGACTTTCCACTGAAGTAATGGTACAAGTGAAGGAGATGCGATACTGAGGTCTATGGAAGAGTAAGTTTTGTTGGCAAGGTTATAGTATGTTGCCTCTTTCCTATTCAACAGACAAGCACCCGATGAAATGAGGAATCGTTCAATGAGACGACCTCGTGCATCACAGCGAGAGTCACCCCACAGACCATTATGTGCGTTCAGGTCCCCAAGGACCAGATAAGATTCAGGTAGTTCGTCTATTAAAGACTGGAATTGAAGTTTTTCAAGACGGTGGTGCGGAGGTATGCACAAAGAGCAGACTGTGACAAGTTTTTTTAGAATAACTGCTCGCACAGCCACCGCCTCGAGGGAAGTTTGAAGGGGTAATTGTGTACATGCTATACCTTGAATAACTATAACCGCTACACCACCGGATGGTGGCATGGCATCATCTCTATCCTTTCGGAAGATTACGTAGTTACGTAAAAAGTTTGTGTTTGCTCGTTTTAAGTGTGTCTCTTGTACACACAGCACTCTTGGATTGTGTTCATGGAGGAGTTCTTGTAAGTCATCGAGGTTTCGAAGAAGGCCTCGGATGTTCCACTGTAATATTTCTGTCTGCATATTTAAACAAGAGAGATGCTGCTGTGTGTACAAAGAGTATCCTGTGTTGGAGTGAGCTCGTTAATTCAGGTGGCAGGAGGGTCGTCCGGCCCCGTTATTCGTTTTTTGTTTTTCTTAGCGCGCTCCAAGGAGGTGTGCCGCTCTTTCGGTACCAAGGGTACCGTTGTATCCATCGCCTCCTCAGAGGCACTGGATGCCCGCACATGCGAGCTGGTGGTTTGGATTTTAGGCCTCGCCTGGTGAGGTGAGGCCTTGAGACCAGAGGACCCTGGAGTCTCCGGCCTCAATTTGCTTGGAGGCGGAGTAGACTGAACTACTGCCGCCTTGGGGGCAGGCGCCACAGCCGATGGCTCGCTCTGCGCTGGCCGAAGGGGTGGCGAGGGCTGGTGCGGCGTTGCCCCTTGACGCGCCGCATCAGCGTATGTTGTGCCGTAAAATGGCGACACTCTTCGTCTTGCTTCTTTGTATGTGATGTTTTCTTTGACTTTAAGAGTGATTATTTTTTTTCCTTTCTTCCAGTTAGGACACGAACGCGAATACGCGGCGTGTTCCCCGTCACAATTCACGCACTGAGGCGTAGTAACACAGTTATCAGATGGGTGGTCCGTGGCTACCACATCTTGCACAAGTTTCCTGACCCCGGCAGTTCTGCGAGCCATGACCAAATCGTTGACATTTATAACACCGTCTTGGATTGGGAATGTAGGGACGGACAGAGAGTTTGATGTAGCCTGTGTCTATAGATGAAGGCAGTGTGCTAGATTCGAAAGTGAGTATTAAATGTTTGGTAGGTATTTCTTTGTTGTCGCATCTGATGACGATTTGTTTCACATCCGTGACATTTTGCTCTTTCCACCCTTCAAGCAGTTCCTGTGCAGACATTTCAAGAAGGTCTGCTTCTGAAACAACTCTGCGTGTGGTGTTCATTGATCTGCGAGGTGAAACGGGTACTGGGATATCACCAAATGCTACAAGACTACCAAGTTTTTCATAGTGATGTTTTTCAGGCAGCTCAAGGAGAAGGTCTCCGCTAGCCATCTTTGTAACCTTGTACCCTAGGCCAAAGACATCAGTCAGAGATTTCGCAACAAGAAATGGAGATATGGCTCTGGCTTGTTTTGTTGAATTTTCGCTGTGCACAACATAGAATTTTGGAAAGCATTGTCTGGGTTGGTTGAAAATTGATATGTCATCGGTGCGTCCCCTCTTAGGCGGAAGATGATCTAGGAGACGGGGAAATGCAGGTGTTCCTATAGTACTTTTTTTCGGCAGTAATGGCGACCACCCACCATGGAGTCCAACCAGGGGACGCTGAAGCACTTAATAGCATAAGGCTGCAGACGCCAGCCGGACATTGCCACTATAACCAAATATAACTACTCAAGATTGAGTAATTACACAAGGTTAACCCTTGCCACCAGGAAAATTGGAAGTAAACAGAAGAGAGAAGTAGACAGGACAGACTAAAAAAGAGAGAGATAAAGACATAGTTGTAGGGGAGAGAGATAGGAAAAGGTGACTGCCAATTTCCCCTGGGTGGGTCAGCCCAGGGGTGCCGTCTACGTGAAGCCAGGGCCAAAGGGGTGTGTTGCCTCTGCCGGGGGGGCCTTAAAGGTCCAATCACCCAGCGTCGGCTCAACCCCCAGGATCCCCTTTTCCCCGGACACGGCAAAGCCACGCACGGCTAAGCGTGGGAGGGAGCCAAAACTCGCCCGTTACCTCGGGTCCGTGGTGTCGCTACACACCAAACGCCTACTTGCGCAGGCCACTTTGCATGAAAATTACTGCAATATATCTGAAACTATTACAGATAGCAGTTTTTGCAGCATGAAGCTATATGTTTGGAGCACACAACATAGGAAGCAGATTTTGATTTCTCTTGATGCGAGTTTTTCAAACTAGTCTTGTGTGACCACACAATGGCCACATTCAGGGCTGTGAAGTTTAGTGTACTGTAAAGTAAGAAATAATGACCCATTCAAAAAACTGCTTCTTATGTTGCATGTCTTATGCTTTCTACTGTCCATCCCTATGCTATTTATAAATTTTTGGCAGGTTATTTTTCTATTATGGTAAGAACAATAGAAATTGTTATCTTGATTATTTAATTAACTGATGAAGCTACAGAAAAAAATAACTACATTTTTAGAATCCGGAGAACAAACTAAGTAAGCATGCCAACTTCTGTCACACTTGGTTCAAAAATAAATGAGAGAGCCCTAAGAACCCTATATAGAGAGCCCTATATAGTGTTTATATAGGCACTGTAAAAACAATATAAAAGCACTCTTCAACCTCTAATTAATGCTCATATATCAAAGTGGTACAATAGAAATGCATAGAACAAAATAGGCATTCGCTTGAAATCAAATCTCTAGTAACGTTGTAGACAGCTCTATAGGGTTGCAGTAAAGCTTTTTCTACACATCGGCAATCATACTGGCGGTTGTAATTAAAAGATTGATATGTTGATTGATATCTGGGGTCTAACGTCCCAAAACCACTATATGATTATGAGAGATGCCGTAGTGGGTTTGTAATTATAGAGAACATGTAAAAAAAAGGAATGTTGAGAGAATATTCCCCTTCATCCCACGATGTTTTTTAGGAATTTCACCAGCATTTGCTATTAGAGTCCTTTCAAGCTGCTAGCACATTGCAAGTTATCTGTGAAAGACATCGGTAGCACGTCTACTCCAAGAGGATGTTTCTGTAGGAAAATAGCATCTTTAATGCACGCCTCTCTGGTCCCTTGCAAAGCAAGAGATCTAGAAACAGCCGTCCAGAGTCGCTTCACTTTAGCATTTTTTTCCTTTTAGATCTCTTAGGCAGTGCGCAGTATATTAGGCCACTTTACAGTCATCTTGAATTTACCCATTGCGATTGCACTTGTCATCATTTGCAGAATTTAAGTTGCCTTGATGCTATTTGACCACAAATGGCCCTTGTGCCACAAAACATTAAATATCATCATGTGCGCAGGGTAATACCCCAGTCACATGGCAAAGCTAACATTATTTACAACTAATGACATTGAGCGGACCTAATGTCATTTTACCTGCGTGCTGTCAAACAGCGAACACAAATGTAATTTTGAAATGATGACCATGACCCCAGCACTCCGGAGCCGTGGCTTTGGGAGAAATGAAGATGTATTAAAGCTTGCATGTAACATGCATGTATCCACTAAAATAATTTTTTGGGTAACAAGGTGCTCTTTGAATATAAACGCGGCCATTTTACACACCTTGCCACAGCTGTACGACACACTCGAAAACCAACATGGCCGACGACATGACTGAGTGTGAGTACAGTGAACTGAAGCTGGGCGCATGTGTTTAGGAAACTCATTTGAACAAAAACGTTAATTTTCCCGAAATGACATTAGTTTCCCCATGTGACAGTGAACAAATGACATCACAAAGAAATGACATTGGATTTGCCGTGCGAGATGTGCAACGACTTGCAATATCTAGTAGTTTTTCCTGCCTTTAGCCCACTTCATCGATAACATAGTACAACGGTGAAGTTAACTTGGCGTGCACTGCATATATACCATAGCACAAATAAACAACGCCACACCATTGGATAAAGGGGTTGGATCTCACAGTAAGCTGATATTTCTGAAAAACAAATAATTCTCAAAGCTGCTATTCTTTGATACTTTTATTTTGGGTAGGTTTAGGTATACTAATCGGGAGATTTGGTATACTAATCGGTTTGGTTTAATCGATTTGGTTTAAGTATACTAATTGGGAGATTGGACAGCTTTTTTCCAGGCCACGTTTTTTCACCGTAAATGTTTTTGCTTTTGGTGAAAATAAAGTTCTTTGATTGATTGATTGATTGATTGATTGATTGATTGATTTATGGCCACACCCACACACACAATCAGCAGGAGCGGCCAGAAGTCTGGAGTCTCCGGGACAAGTTGGCAGAGTAGGCAGGTGTGTCATAACAGTAGCAAAGATATCGTAAAGCCATTATTTGCAAGCGAAAAGATGCAGGAGAACTCTGTAGTTTTAATGAATGTGGCAACATTTCTTTAGAATGGCATAAAAAGCCCTGCAGTTTTTGAATTTCTTTATATGCATGGTACCCCAGCTTGCACAAAGATGCTACTGCTATGGTGAAAATACTTTACTAAAAAAATGAAAAGCACCTAGAGTATGTTCTTTCCGGAAGATGCGCTCATAGTCCCGGACAGCTTCTTCATACATTTCCAGATCCATGTAGCTGCAAACAAAAACATCTTGTTGATGGTATGTCTGCATTAATGAAGTCCAGAGCATATGCCCTTGTAGCATTCACAAGGCTTACGTTTTCGCACGCCTCATGTAAGCCTTCAGATAATCTTGATTCAGTGATATGGCAGTAGTGCAGTCTTCAAGTGTTTGATTGAGCTTGTTTATCTGTGAACCAAAGAAAACATCAAAGGCTGAATGAAACTTCCAACTGAAAAAAATAATACCAAATATTTAATTCTACTGACATAGCAAGCAAAAGCCACTAGACTCGCAGCTTTTGTTTAAATTCCAAATGCTAGCTTCTGCAAACAAGCTGTTGCAGACTACTTCAGTCCTCTGCGCTCAAGTTAAAGAAAGCTCTGCCATATTATATGGCCCTGTAATGCACAGCAAGAGATATTTAAAGAGACTGTCTACTGTCCTTTAATGCCTTTCCATCTTGCATCAATAAAAAAAAAAGGACTGTCTCAAGTGCTCAGTACTGCAGTGGTTTCTCGGACTACCAGAAATTTTTAAGAGAATATATTTTTCAAGTGCTCAGTACTGCAGTGGTTTCTCGGACTACCAGAAATTTTTAAGAGAATATTTTTACCTACATTCTGCCTTCTTCAAATGGTGTAGAAACATGCACAACACTCGTTATTGCACTTGATGTCAATTGTGCTGATGAAAGTAAAAAACTAGAACCACATACACTTTTTGCAGAACTAATACATTATCACTCAACAATAAAAGTATTACCATAGCAGTAGTTTAGAGCATGCATTGGTCAAATAAAGCATTAATATCGCAGTCTTTCCTGTTCTGGTTACTTATTATGAAAAACCACAGCAGACGAGTGTAATACTTGGTGAATTCCAGAAACAGTGCATTAATTTACAATTCAGTTTCAGCATTACCAGACCCCTAAGGTACAATTCAATGTAAAAAAGTCCCAAACAAAACTTTTGCTGTCAGGGGTTCTTTCAATATGAGAAAATAAATAGTCTGATGCTGCCAGAAGTGCACGAAATGCCAGTGTCGTGGAACAAACTACAGTGATTCCACTCGCTTGACGCGCTTCACAGAATAAGAGAAGGACCTTGTTATTTATCAATTACAGTTGACTTCAGCGCCGGTGAATACAGGCACTTTAATGGTACTTTACTCGCAGATATGGTTAGAAAATAATACAAAATCAGCCGCATCGCTGACCTTTCACCAAAGATGTCTTTTTTGTTAATTTTTTCCCCTTTTGAATGTTTATACAATCTGCTGGTTAGGGCACCATGCAGGCTTTTCTCCACAGGCAGGTGTCAACACACACTCAACCATCACGTGGGCCAGCAGTGAAGGTGGAGTGCTTGTTTGGGGTTAGGAATGGTGTATGCATGAATTTATTTGACGCAACTTACGCCTAGGAAATGCTGACAAAGCACCAAGAAAGTCTTTGGTGAGGGCCCCTCATCAAGCAAACTTTCAAAATGACAAACGGTTGCCTCACCCCAATAAAGGCTTAACTGAGATGAGAAATACTTTATTGTCATGAATTGAAGCAGATGAACTCTAAAGAAGCACCTGCAGTGTTGTCAATTACCACCTTCTAAGGACCGCTGACACCAAGTTTTGATACTAAAGATGCTTGTGTTCTTTGAGAGTTCTACATGCAAGGGCACTTTTGACCAATCTATTAGTCATGAGCCCGTTGCCTGCAAGATATTTCAAGTTGGTTTTAAAGTAAAGGTGCGTCCTCATTCGAGTACTCGGGTGTCGCAATCAACATTATCTGTGACACCGGAAGAAGTCAATCAAGTATTGTCGGCGTTTCGGGGTGCACACAATACTCCCACTGGCACATCGCAAGGACCATTGTTTGTCCCCCTCATTCTGTGTTGTCAGGCTGCTCTCAAGGTGGTTTTGGCTGCTCAACCAGGAATATTTTTCTTCTCTCTGAGGGCGTCACGCTCAAAGCACCCACATCACTTCATCCTTCACCGCCCATGGGTCCCCCTATTTGAAAACAAATTGGATGTTCAGCGTCATGCAAGCTTGAGTTTACATTGCAGGGGGACGCTAGTTTCTTATTGTAGTTAGGTGGGAGTTTCAAACTGATGCAAAATTAGGTATTCTAAATTATCGATGCTAGCATTAATTTATGATTCAGTTTCAGCCTTACCAGACCCCTAAGCTACAATTTACTATAAAAAGTCGCAAAAAAGAACTCTTGCTGTCAGGGGTTCTTTAAATGTGAGAAAATAAATGGTCTGATGCTGCCAGAAGTGCATGAAATGCCACTTTATGTCATAAATTTCTTGTTTTTAACCCGAGTAAAGTATCTGTGAGGTTGTTCTCTCACCTCTGCTGATTGGCTGACCCACGTTGATGATAGGCAATGCTAGGGGCAAATTTTTCACGACTTTCAGATGCAAATTAAAAATGAAATTCCTTGTCCATGGAATAATGCCGTGCTCATTGCTGTCTATGTCATATGCAATCTTATCATTTTAAGCCCAATCTTATACATTTTTATGAGTGTTTCGTAGGCAGCCCCTTCAAATACAAGAATTTTATTTATAAAATTCACCTTTCGCATCAAGATGCACAATAACCAATGATTTGATTCAGGACTAGGAAGCACATTTTAACGAGGAACTATGTTATGAACTTCTAAGTGGGGTTATTGTAAGCCTAGACCCGTTTGACATTATCCAGAGTTCTACAGCACCCAAAATGTAAACCACTCAATGCTGCAGAGCACTAGACATTTTGTATGTTTATGTACAGTTACTGCATTCTACTATACGGCCACGATCTATGCCATAATGGTGCCAAAACTGAACCTGTGACTGAATGGAATTAATTTGGCAACTGCACAAACCCCTAAAAGGACCGACACAAGTGAGAACAGAGTGTTCTGTTCTCTATTTCGTCCACTGTGACGCTCATGTACTGTCTTACCAACACACACCCTGTTATGCACTCTTCTAAATTTCTTGCTACACACTCATTCTCCAACAGTATGAACAGGTTGTTACCCATAGTGAGATAAATGACTCAGCCAGCACACAAGTCTATACGACTTAACCTCTATACAACATAGTCTGTAAAATCTTCAATTACTTCAACACAGTTTTTTATGTGTTTTTAAACCCTAACTATATGCAAATAACAGAAAGCAGAGGAGTAATGTTCTCAATGTCCACTGCTATAGGTATGTGCCTTCAGCACAAAGCTGTCTATACCAGTGAAGAATCCTAATGGTTTACCATGTGTGTATTTGTTTCAAGCATTTCTTTACTAGTAAAGCCTTTTTCCTTGAATGCTTGAGGTGTTTAATTTTCCCTTTTTAGACTGCTCAGATTATGTAAGCATGAAAATTTTTAAATAGTAGAGGGAAAGCAGCAGATATTTGCTGGTATGGACCTGCAAAAAGTATGAATTAACCGAATGATGGAGTTTGAATTAAGAGGCTTTTAAAAATATTGAAAGAATAGAGGGCCAGCCAAAAAATTGAATTTCATTTGAATGAACTGAAAGTATGAATTATCAGGGTTTGAATTATTACAAGTCTACAATAAAACTTCCTTAAATTGAAACTCTGTCTCATAAGATGTCACTGAAGGATTCATTTTTCCATGGAGAGTGTCAGTCTTAACCCTGAGGTCTGGCAACCACAATTTGATTCCACACTAGCGAAGTCCACAGTCTCGATTTCATCACTGCATGGGATTCTTTTGTATTTCAACTCAGTTGAATGTATCAGTTGTGGACAGCACATACCTTTGAGCACACAGTTGCTCGATTGAAGTACAATTTTGAATTAGCAAGTTTATTGCTAGGATCCACTTCAAGAGCACCTGTGTAAATGTTGAATGCTTCCTGGAAGTTTCCTTTGCTAAATGCCTCGTTTCCTTCATCCTTCTTTGACTTTAATATACGGGCTTTCTATAAAAAACACAAAGAAAAAGAATTAACACCACACAAGATGCGAAGTAGCATACTGTTTCAAAGGTTTTGTTCAACATTTACAAAATTTCATGCCGATATATTTTATTTAAACTCGAAATCCAAAGTTGGGGGATCGACTAATACCTCTTTCAGACGTGGCAACTTAAGTGCACTTTGAGCTAGTACACTTTGCTGCGAGTGTCATTAGCACGCTGTCACACAAGATAGTTCAGTTTCACTTGCTGCAATGTACACTTGCCGGCAAGTGCGTTCCCCAACATCACTTTGCTGCGACGAAGTGTGTAGCCTCAATACCAGTCGCTTGTACAGAAATACGCTGTTGCCTAAAGTGGTGGTCACGCTATTTTTAAACAATTGTTTTTGTAATAAGGAGCACTGCTGTGTATTAAAACAAGCCATAATACACAAAAAAAAACCTCGCTACTCCCCCAATCGGGCAGTTTGCCGCCACGTACGCTAGGGGGATGCGGCAGCACATGCTGTGCAATGGCTGCATCCGTCGCGTTGTTTACTTCCAGGCACACTGGTGTGGGTCATTTAAGATGGCATGTGCCACAGGTGCTACTTCCACAAAGACAATGTCCGACGATGAGACACAGGCTCAAAAATAACAAGTATACATGGTGCTACAAATCGATCAATTGCCACTGCCATCATTTCCAAAGTACACTTTCCTTTCAAGTGTAGCAGCGAACTGCCAAAATGATACTTTGTGAGCATAAGTATACTCACTCTATTGAAACCAAAATGTGAACCACCAGTAAGGGCAAGACAAAAAATCAGGCTCAGCTTCGTCTTAACTTTTTTGACCTTGTACCTGGGGAAAAGTGCAGGGCCTCGTGTACAGGACTGCGTGTGCAAACTGGGAAAACCAAGAACTTCCATGAAAGAATGTGGCAGCACAGGAATGACCTCAGTCAGTGCAATGGAAGAACACTGAGCGGTTTGACGACCATACCAGCCCTCACAGCGCGGTGACTTTGGAAAAAGAAACTTTCACCAGAGGCTCTCCTTTGATTCCTAGCTCACTTAGCAGACACCAGGAAACATTGAATGCAGCACGAATAGGTACACTGCCCTCCCTCTACTTTGAGGACTAACGACTAGTCGTGGCAAACCTTGCACGAGCTGCCCATTTCGGGCCTTTTCACCCCTGAAGAAAAAGCTGATCAGGCTTCAAAACATTGAGTTTCTTTGAATAAATATTGGTTGGAGTTTTATCTTTTCTCAAGCTTTTTGTTATCCCAACCAAGCAGACTTCTGCTGAATGTTCACCTTTGAAAGAATACAGATATCGTATATCTGTATTGCTATCCCCAAACCTAAGTGTCAGGCTCGTTACTTCAATTTGTACTCTAACTGCATTCCTTGGGGCATACAAAGAGCACGAAAGCTCAGTTACAAGAAACTTTAGCCAGGAGAATTCCCGTGCCATCAAGCTTTTTGCATTGTGAACTGGGCAAACAAAATGAGGAGTGAGAAACCATCATGCTTCCACGTGTCTAATCTGACCATGAATGGAAAGGTGTTTCGATAAGAAAGAAAAATACTGGAAAAAAAAAAAAAAACGGCCGCTGCTATGTTGCACCAGTACAGAGTCCTGAACTGCAGGCCTGCTGGGAAAATATGGCAGCAATATGTCAGAGACTAAAATATTTGAAAAGGTAACTGAATTTCAAAAGCTCCTCCAATTGTCATGAGGCAACAGAAATATTTTACCACATTACAGCTTCAAAAAATTTCTTTTTGCCAATGATTAAGCGTCGCGTATGGCATGTAAGGTGTAGTTCTGCCACCTTCCTCCTTGATTTTCGTTCACAACAAAACTTTCAACGTGTCTGGAAGCAGGCTATATCAAGTCACCCTAAATAATGCAGCCGCTGTTTATTTGATAGAAAATGGTATGACAAAAGCCGACAACCTGTGTTGTCAAATTTTTAACAAAACTTGAAATTCGGCGAGATGGTGCATAGCTTTGGAAATTTTTCGAGCAATGAACAATGCATCAAGGCATTCACAAGCGCATGTACAGTCTTTCTTGTTCTTGTAAATACTTTGTTTAGCCCTCAAAAATTTCACAATCACGACATTTATTCATGGAAAAACCGAAGTGACATCTGAGAACACAAGCCGCTCAATGCTACTGAGAAAAAAGGGGTGCTTGATGCTTACAAATCGTGCTGCTCCGTCGTCTTTAAAATACATGAATGATGAATTTTGAACACTGCCCTCTTTTTCGGTTGATTAGGTACATAACTGTAGATCAAACTCAATGTGAACCACAATTTCACGTAATAAAATTGGCGTAGAGTTGCACATTTGTCAGAACATACTATGCAGCCTATTTATATGCCCTTGAGAGCCATGTTCGTGTATTTCAAACATTTGTCAATTAGACTAGAGACAATACTCCGTCTTGTCCGTGCTTCGCTGCGCAGGGACAAGACGTGCTCTAGCCAGCCTTCTTGGCAAAAGAGAAACTTCAGAGCCAACACCAGCACATCACACTGGAGTGACATGTGCTGGCACATACCCAGAGTACCCCTAACACCACACACAAAAGTTGGCAGTTACGCACACGAGGCAGAGGGAACCACTTGAGGCCATAAGCAAAATCAAATCCTGAACAGCTGTGGCTGTCTCAGGCTGATGCAAAACATCGTTCATGTCAAAGCTTGACACTGAAGTTCTGTCATCATTCGAATCAAGGCTCAAGTTACCATCACCTAATTTAGATCACGTTATAAAATGGTTTCAAGATGTGTGCATGATTCCGCCCCTATAGGAACGATTAGGGACACAAGATGCAGCCCTCTATCATATTTAACAAGAGAAGCAAAACTGATTCTGGTGGAAATTGGCTGAAAAGATCACCACTACCACCACGCTTTATACATGTGGCAAATCTATGGAAAAGAATAAATCTTCCCCAAACTCCAAACAACACCAAGCGAATGGCTGGTCTAATTTTACTGCGATTATTACTGCTCAACACTGTCAGACTGCTAAGCTGATGCCATGATTTGACAGTTGACATCAGGTTTCGTTTCATTACAGAACTTTGATGTTATCGAAGCCTAACCATGAGTGGCACACATTGCTCTCAAGTGCATCAGCCATGCCCACTTTCCCATCAAGCACACATTCGTTCATGTGAAGGTTTGTTAAAAATCACTATTCAGTCAAAGCAGGAATATTTCAATGGTTTATGAAGTGCAATGGTAGGACTAACCACTAGGAAGTGCAAGGTGAAAAAAAAAAAAAATTCAACACGGCCAAATTGGTAATTCAAAGCATCAATCCCTGTTAATCCATTTGAATAGGCATCGTACATTACATGCTTGTTCCAGCTTCATATTCAGCACTGTGCTTGGAAAGAAATCGTATATTTAAAAAGGTATGTTATAAGATTGAGCTAACGGTTCTCTTACTATGACATCTACATACCTGAAGAATTTAGCACTTATGCTCTTTTGAGGTCACATCTTTAGCATGACATAATGCCAGCCACAGTAAATTTTCAATCATAGCTGTTCCAAAGGTATTCACTGTTAAAACAGTAGAAATAAGGCTGTGACTAAGGCATATTTGACCAGATGGCTCTATGGTTTGGACTCCAAAGAGTACAAACCTTGTATGCTGCAGATGCTTTTTTGTGATCTGGTGCTAGTCTCAAAACTTGCTGAAAGTGTTGCAGTGCTTTGTCAATGTTGTCCTCGTAGTAGAAGCACAAGCCTCTCACATACATGGCATCTGCATTTGTTGGCTCAGCACGCATTATCTTACTGAAAAATGTAAGGAAATATGAATCACAACTTCAATTTCAAATGCAGACAAGAACCACTGATCATTACATGATACCCATGAACTCATCATGAATACACTAGTCACCAGGATTGAGAACAAGCTGTGAATGAAATAATATTATGAATGTAGATGTCGAAGGCAAACAAAAACAAATGCAGTCTGCTTTATAGGCAGACTAAAAAAGCAAATATGCAGCCATTGCACTTAGACACTGTGTAGTATCCTGCTTCAATGAACTTGTGGTTGTATGCATGTCTACCTACAGCGAGGGTCTAGTTCTGGCTGGCTTGATGCCTTCAGGTAACATGCGAGGGATTATTGGTCAGCTGCCAGCTTGTAATAAGATCAAGTGCTACATGATGCCAACAGGCAAAAAGAAATAGTGTGTTCGACACTTACCTTAATGGCTGCAGGCAGCACTAGCCGACACTCTCACATGTAAATGCACATATATACCTATAAAGTGGATGGACCAATGACTGTCACCAAAGCTCAGTGGTAGAGCATCAGCCCTATTATTTGAAGGTTGTAGGTTCGGTCCTTACCAGTGGCAAGTTATCTTTTTGTGAACTTTTCTTTCTTCTCATTCACATTAGAATTACTCCTCATAACATACTCTATACTTTCCTTGGCATCATCATTAGTTGGTACTTGTTAATATCATGATTCCCAAGCTCTCATGATGGAATAAATCATTTTGAAAAGCCCACCTTAGCCACATGGATGAGATTTCATTTCTAGGTGTAAAATACGTTTTTCTCAAGATGTAATAGTGGGCAATTTTTGAAATTGGACACAATGTTATTGTTACTTCTGATGGCCAGATTGGGATGAAATTTCTCCCAAATATTCCTTGAAATAAGAAGAGTGCCATTATCTTCTTTGAAACCCGATATCACTCATAATTTTTATGAACCTAAATCAAGCAAGCATAGGTTGAGCATTTTAAACTTCTCACTTAATTTTTCTTGTTCATTAAAATGTCTTATATCCACTTTGTTGTTAGTTATTTGTATTTTACAGTTACACATGTAACTCATATAGCATTCTTGCATTAGTTGTTCACAACCATAACAGTTAAGTGGCATAAAAACTGTATCCAAAAAGACCGATAGTTCACACATTGTCGTGGAACAAAACAAAAACTATGCAAGTTACTAAAAAAGTGATTACATATTTGAAATAGGTGTAAAAAACTATGAAAACAGCAAGAATTTTAATACAATAGCCTATAGACTAAATAAACTTTTTGGTAGCATTTCCCCTTATTGAGAGAAAATTGCAACAAGCTGTAAGACAGGTCCTGATGCCCCTCTGAATTTCCTGCACTGGATGTCCGCAACATTGGAGATCACAAAAATGGTCTTGCTATGACTGGTTGAGAGCTACGTATCGCTGTCGACAAGAATGTGAAATGAAATACAATGTACCCGAACAGCATTCGTAAACTGGACACTTTGGTTTCAGTCTATGAAAACGACATTGTTTTCTGTCGGCACAGCCAGCAGCCCAACAGAGAAACCCTGCCATGCAAGCACATGCGAGCACTTTGCACTGCACTGCACTGCACTGAAGTTGCTAAAATGATATTCCGCTTCCCAGACAAGATCTTCATTGCTCGATGCAGCAACGACATCCATTGTGGAGAACAGAGAAGCAAAGGTCATGCTAGAGCTGTGCATGCGCACAGTGAGTATTAAGGGAAACCTCCGATTTGCAGAGAGCAATGAAATTTATGACATGTAATCTGGGGCAAGAGAAACTGAGCAGAAAAAGTTCTTCCACTGTCTAAAGACTTCTGAACTAATAAGTCATCTTTTTACACTGAACAAACGCTGCACACATTCCTGAAGTCGCCTTGCTCATTGCAGCTTTACAATACATTAGAACTATATAAATCACTGAACAGGTTGAAAATTCCAAACTGATAATGCATTCTGAGGAGTGATTGAGAGTGAAAGGAGCATAATGCACAGTGGATCCACAGCAAAACCATGCATGAGCTGCCATACGATACAGAAGAGCACCACCAGCAGTGGAATGACTGCACTGGTGACACAGTGCATATGGACTAGGAGCACTCAAAAAGCAGTCGTGTAAAACCATTTGAAATTACAAATGCTCCCAGAAAGCAATGCATGAATAAGGAAAGCTGTATTGCTAGAAAAGCAGTTTACAGGATGGTGGAATACCTTCTACACCTGAATGCAAACCACGCATGATTCAGGCTTATTGTTATGCATTTACACACCATAATACCACAGTGGCCATTATGTAAGTAGCTCAACAGCTGGCAGGGAGTCCCAAAATGTTTCAATTTTGCTTGCACATATATACATGCATAAACAAAAACTATAGTTGACCCCACACCCCCTCCCGGAAAAATATTCTGGCTACAATCCTGAGAGGTGGTAACATTTATGAGTAGCTTATTTACCTATTTGTCACCACTTTTACACTTATCATTACAGAATGAGCTAGCCTCATAGGTGTGATGTCCACTTCGCTTGAAAGTTTCACATCTGAAAAGCTGCTCTCTTTCACTAAACTCAAAAGTATGCAGCCTGCAACATGATGCTAAAGACACACAATGCAGGGGGGGAAAGAAGAGGAGAAGAAAGAGACTCCACTAGAAAACAGATGAAATTGTGTCATCTTCTAGTACGTAGTCAAATAATGGACCCTCGATGACAAATGAAATTTTGGTTTCAGGCACCCTTGTAATATCTAGTTTTCTCCCCAATTTCTGCACTCGAAAGTAAAGTGCAGGTTGTAACATGAGAGTTAAACGCCACAGGCAAAAGAGTTTTATGCAGGAGTTAGCTCGCAGTAATCGAATAATAAGCAGCTGCCCATGTTTATACATTCCTGTGTTTTTGCTCTTCCAATACACTTTTAGTTGAATATGGCATAGCAGATTAAGTTGCGTTTCAATTGCATGCTAGTGCCATTTCTGGTCCTTCACATTTCATAGTAGCACACTGCACTCCAAGGCTAGTCTAAAAAACGGTGTGAGGCCACATACAGACTAATTAACACGAGTTTGACACCATTAAATGATGGATACACTAACTGTTTTTTCAAAGTAACAAGGTTTTACTGTAGTTTGTGACAACGCTAAGAAATCTGTGACGAATCAACAGAATTTAATATCATGCCATCAAAGAGAGGAACAACAATGTGTCAAGCACGTACTTGGCAATCTGACGAGCATCAGTCAACCGCTTCAGCTGGGCAAGACTTTCGGCTTTGAGGATTTCGATTTTAGAAGAAGAAACAGCTTGCTGCAATGCACGATCCATGTAGTGGATGACCTGTACAAACAGGGAGTGTCCATTAAACACAAGTACAGCAAAGTTACCTTAGTTTCAAACAATAGAAAAGTGCACGGGGACATGAAGAGGCAGTGAATATTATGGACAGATAGGAAATTATTCAACCAACAAACGTGAACTTCATTATCTTTTGCTGCCCTCACACTGACCACCTCAATTTCAACAACGCCCTCCGCCACAATGGTGTCAGACTGCAGGACAGAGGTACACGTTAGTTATTCAATAATTTTCTTCTATTTGTTTTTCAACTCTTTTGAAATAATTCTACAAACGATGCTTTGCCTCTTATAAGTTTACAAGTCAAATTCTTTTCATCAAGACATAATTTGCATCCTTAAAATCCTTTAGGAGATTCAACTGTACACCATAGGTGCTGCTCCCATGACAGTTGATGTATATCTTACAAATAAAACAAGCACTTATATTTACACTTCTTTCCTTCTTATTTTTGAGAACTTGTAGCATAGATAAATATATGTCCTACACACCCTTAAATAAGCAGAAGAATTGAATTGCACTGACTGGACCATGGCACAAAGATCCACTGCACACTGATATAGGACAACTTCTAAGATTTATTTATTAAAAGCAATGACACCTGAATGCAAAATCTGATTAAACAATTTTTGTTCAACATCATGCTACATACTGGTACAAATGTTATCATAGTATACACTGTGTTAACTGCTCAGCCGCTAGATGGTAGCACACCGGTGTGGCGAGTGCTGAGAGATTTAAATGAGACCTTTGAGCATACAACAGGGCCCCACAGACCATTTTACATTCACAACTGTGGTATTCCTGAACAGGCAATGAATTGCAAGTTCAAACAGAAAAGTAGGACTGGCACTTCCTAATCATTCAATCAGTTCAAGATTAATGACTTAGAGCAGTGGAGCCAATGACCACAAGCCAGTAGAAGACCTCGCAATCCAAAATTTCTCATGGAGAAATAACTGCACACTAGTACAATGTAAACATGCTGCCGCAATAACTTAGTGAATAAGTGCTGTAATAAGATACGGAACTACAGCGCCTTCTCATGGAGAGCACAGCAATCTTGAAATTGTGAAAAGGAATTCACTAATAGCAGAAAAATTGTTTTCCTTTTCAGTGTACCTTTAAATTTTTTGCACAAAATGTTTCAGGATGTCACCTTTGGCAGTGTTAACTTGACACTGGTATATAAAAAACCTTTTAACAAAAGTTGCATGGTTTCATCTAGCCATCTATTAAGAAATCAGTAATGTGTCTGCCATATAAATGCTTAAAAAGATTTTGAGGCACTACCAGTTCACTTCTAGTAGGATGCTGCTTGATTGATAGAGGCAACAAGTGTTCCAATCAAGCTAGGGACATCCTAGCACATTCAAACATGGTCATTCAAAGATTTCACTACTAAGTGTAGCACTTGAACATGCCAACATTCACGTAAAAGTGTAAGGTACCTTTTCATAGTTCTGTGCTTTGTAGGCCTTATCGCCTTCATCGAGGAAAAGTTGCAGAAGCTCTGCACTTTTCAATTCACGAAAAAGTGCTGGATTCTCGGGATCCACCACACGCAGCGAATGGAGGGTCCTCAATGCAGCAGCTGGGTCCCCGAGTGCAATATAGCACTTGGCCTCACGCAGCAGGCTCTTGGAATTGCGTCGATCTCTCTGCAAGGCTTGGCGGCAGTCATCTAGAGCTGCCCTGTGGTCTCCCAGCATCATGAAGCAAGCAGCCCGATTTGAATAGTATGTTGCATTACTTCCATCCAATTCTGAAAATTAAAATGAATTTTGACCTCTGGGTGGTTTACGGGCCCTTTAAAGGCTCACTCATTACTAAGCGCTCAGATAGAATCTTTAGCAGCAGCAGAACTATCAAAGAAGTGAACAGCTGAGTAGGTTTGCATGCTTCCCTGTGAACATGTCGTGGGCCCCAAGCAAGTGTGCTTGCAATAGACATTCTATGATAGTTTGAAGTGGGCAATGTTACACCCACAGCCTATTTCCTTACGGCACGGTTGAGGTATGCATCAAGAACCGAAACAGGCTAGCAGTTTGTAGGGTGATGTGCGCTAGGCTCGATTACGTTATCGCGATCTACTCTTGAAGGTGAAGCGAAGCACAAATGTCATCCAATTTTATAAAACTGGCCATCAATTTCAATCATTTAGGTCAAATGCTCGAAATTGGAATTGTCCACATTGATGATGGCAAATACACACAAAGCTATTGGTGATTATAGTGAATTTACTAACAGCAAGATTTTTTAAAATTAAAATTTAAGAAAACGTGTGCTGGAAGAAAATTCCTATACCAAGTTTTGATTATTATTCTTAGTAGTCTGCTTTTTTAGCTATGGTAAAACTGCAAGCTCAAAACACAAACAGGCCATTGTATTACGGTGCGACACAAAGCTTTATGGGGCCAAAAAGAATTTGGTGGCACTAATCTAAACTGTATCCTGTTTGTCGATACTAGTTCATCTGCAAAGTAGCTACTCATTTTAGATCTAAATGCCATGCTTACATCTTTGGGATGGTGTTAAACTAATCTAAACAAAGCGTCTTACTTTCTCTACATTTTGGAATCTTCAAAAGACACATTAGGCTTCTTATGTAAACTTTAACGCATCCTGGCACTCAATATCTAGACCCACTCCCAACTTGTTTTGTAAAGATGTGCATAACCATGTATAAACTTTTCTGTCTGCTTGGACTACTGCTTTTACCACAAGATAATAATAGTTCGTCTCTCTCTGTGCACTCATATAACCAAGAATTCTGCTTGCATGTGTGTATACAGGGGATTCCAGCTACATGAATTAAGATTCTTTTGTAAAGACAAATAAAACCAAACATTTTACAAAAACTAACGGCAGTCATGTGCTTTTATAAACAGCCTCTCTGCACTGTCAAAATTGTAAATGCACACCCAAATCCAATGAAATCAGTTTTAAATGGACACAGGAAAAGGAAACCCTTCTCATGGCCAAGGTTTTAGGCATATCATTTCTAGTGGAAGAGCATACATGAACCAGCCTTCGATTGCTTGCACAGAGCAGAAATCATATCTAAGCAGCTATCCCTCATGTACAACTGTGTGTTTCTGATTGACAGGTGGTGCTACCCTACTAAAACTTTTGGATCTAACTCGCTTTAACAAGAATCTCTTGATATCCCGACTCACGTGTCTTACGCCTTCATTTCTCCTACAGTAAACAACACAAAAACAGCCAAAATGTTCTGCTTGCTGAAAGGTATTCATTGCTGCCTAAAATGCATAAAATATAAGAACAAACCTATTGCTTCTGTGTAGCGCTTGACTGCTTCATCGTACATTTGACGACCATATAGCTCATTGCCTTCTTCTTTTTTCAGTTCAGCAAGTCTATAACAGCAGAAAACACAAGTGAATAAATACCAAGTTAGTATTCTTGACAGAGAACAAAATGGTGCATCAAGCAAGGCAGCTCTAAATATTCATTTTTTTTTTTTTGGCTGCATAAGCTCGCCTGTCTTATACTGCGAAATTCGATTAAATATCACTGAATATGACAAAGGCTAAAAGAGTTTGTAATTCATTTTTTAAATCTGTAAGTTGAAGCCTATTCCACACCTGCCTTAACTTCCGCACTTGTGAAAATGGCGTTTAATGCAAATACAAGTACTTTTGTGCTCCACCAAATAAAGCATGAGGAGCGAGGCATTAAATAAGCTTGTTTAGGGTGTGAACTGCCAATAGATAGTCGGTGCTGCAGCAACATGGTACCTTATGACCTAATCAATAAAACTTCCCTGATAAAGTTACGTGTGTCACTGTAATTGTACATAACGAATGCTGTGTCTATACACAAGCTAAATATCAACATTTGATGACTGTATTGCACAAATCGACAGCTAATATATGAAAAAAAAAAAGCCGATGAGGAATTTAAAACAATTCATAAGTGTAACTACAGAATGGAACACGCACATGTTGTGCAGCAAGCAAAAATCAATTACAAATCTCTGAAGCAAGATGTCTTACACACCATTCTACACTATGCACATAAACTGTTCACTAGAAGTGCATACAAATTATGCCAGTAGATTTCTAAAGGCATTTCGTGTACATAAGACAGCTGCGTAATGAAACTTCAGCACAAAGAAGGGGACAAGAAAAAAAGATTAGACAAGGGCAATAACGACCTTGTCTTTCTCCCAGTCACTTTCCTATGCTGAAGTTTCACTATAGATTCCTACCACCAGCCATAACTGCATACTTTGAGAAGACAGCTGCAGTATAGCGAAGAGGATCAAGAAAAGCAAATTCTGTGAAACATGCTGGGCTGCCTAACACACATCTTTCATGTGTGCAATTATGGCCTGCTTCTCAACAATTCTACTCAGAGTAGCATAAACACATTGAGTGAAAATTAAAAAAATATATTACTGACACTGAACCGACCATAACATCTGGGCAGTTAGCCAGTGGCTATTCAACAAGTCAGGCTAGATTAGGCAGGTACACTGCCCAGTTTTTTTGTTTTTTTTCTTGGGTAGACTAGGTCACACTGATCTGTTCCCCCGTTGCACAAAAAGAACACTAAGCATGCGAAAATAGTAGATGCGACAGTATATTACTCAATATTCAAATAAACCAGGCAGTGCATGAAATACACCGGAGCTACATGAGGAGAAACAGGTGATCACCAGCAATATTTACAGCAAGAAATTTTTCAGTTTCTTCAATTAACATTTTGTCAGCTGGTTAATCCTGCACAAGTGAGCCAGTAAAGTTATCAAGGTCTCATTTTCCTTGAAATCTAAAGTGCATGAAAACCCTGGCAGCATGGCAGACAACTGTTCAAGAGAAATAAAAGCAAGAACGTTTTTGAAACAGCACTGACTGACAAGCGATACAAAATGTTTTTTTCACAATGGCTTTTTATCGGCTGTGCTGTCAGATTTTGCCTGCTATGAGAACTTGTCTAATCAGATTTACTTGCAGCATGTGCACTAAGGTGACCATCCACCAAAAAAAGGCTTTGAACAGGTTCGTAAGCAACTTTTAGCCAGCAGTATTTTTCAACAGGTAAGTTAGAAAAGACCTAGTGAGCTTGAGGAGAGAGAACTTATGCAGACACTGACAGTCTATCTGTATAAGCAATGCTGCCATAGACAAACTAGCATATCAAGACACTGGACAATGCAGCAGATTACAATGGTGAATGCCTCTAGTGATGGTCATCAGCTGGAGTAGTGTGCCTGGCAGAGCAAAGGCAAATTTAACAAAGGCATGACTGCTTTTTGTGATGCTATCCTATTGTGACACCTCCTAACTTGCACTGGGTGTTAAACAAGAGTGTCTAAAGTGCGGCCACTGTGCAAAGTTTTCTACTCACGAAATCGTAACAACACAAGTAAACGCGTGGAAGTGACAGTTTTCTCAAGAGTGACAATCCCCACATGGCAAAATGGCCGACGATAACGACTGCAATGATGACGTCAAATCACAGGGAAGAAAGAAAATATAGGTTGGCTCTAACAAGGCGAATAAAAATTCGCCCACCAGTTTATGTTGCTTACACTTAATTGAACTGAAGACATAAAATGCAGCTTAAGGTGGGTCACTACTTCCGAGAAAAAAAAAATTTAGTTCTATTCCAACATTTGTAATAACCATTTCGGCTAGTAGGAATTCGGCAAATGTCAGGTTTAGAATGAAGTCCGTTTTACCCACAAATGATACTCCATCAACCGCAGTCAAGCTTCCGGCGGGCAAAATTTCGAGTAGCAAAGGCATCGGTAGCCACTACGAGGGTTGCGAATGGTTGTAGGATGCCGAAAAAAAAAACGGCCCTGTAGAAATCGCTTGAGAAGTCAAGCCCGTTCGCGCGAGGAAGTCGCGACAAAGCACGGAGGACCAGAACGCTCGTGGCGTGCTCAATTCTCCCGACGCCCAACCAACCGCGCAGCGATGCACGAGATGGGAGACAATGTTTTACCTGGAGTTTTGCTGAGCGCAGTCGTAAAAGTAGCTAACGTAGCGAGGCCCGCGCCGCCGTCGGAGCACCATGCTCAACTGTTGGGCCATTATCGCGCGCCAAAAACACGACGCCGCGCCGTTTTGCCGCGATTTCTCGGTCAGGATATCCCAGATTGCCCCGCGGGCGCGCGCGGCACTATGGGAAAAGCATACCCGCCAAGTTCAAGGTTTGCGATTCCGGGAGATTTCCGCAAGGATGGGGAGGGGGGGGGGGTCCGTACAGCAAACATCGGCGTTGCGATACTGAAGACAATTTTTCGCAGCGGTTTAACCACATTACCGTAAACCATATATGGATGACATATATAAACCCAACCAACGCCTCCTAGAAAAAACTATGTCTGGAACGTCGCTCTCTTTTTTCAATTGGAAGCCTCCTGCCAGCACGCAATCTCGGAGGCCATGCCTCCTGCCTTGTGTTGCAATCGGCCGCCGCGTGAGACCGCTCGCCTCCGTACCGCTCAGTCACGTGACATCACGGCTGCTCAGAGGCAACTGCGAGAGCATTGTGTAAGCAGGGGGGGGGAGGGGGCAGCCGTTGGAGACGCTCGCCTTCGTACCGAAGAAGGAGGGTGAAATCAGTGGGTAGGGCAGCGCGTTCGCGGCTCACGTTTCAGGCATAATTTTTTTAGGAGGCTTTGATAAACCATATATAGGCTGACATGTGCCGCTAGACACAAGAAACAGGTGTGCAAAACAAAGCACAGAACCCTTTTTGTCAATTGCATTAGCAACGTTATCTACAGGATCCCACTTTCGTGTGGTGCCTGTTATATTGGACAATAGAAGATGCCTTAGAAGGGTACTGACAAAAAATTTGGCCTGGCGTTTTTCTGCTGCAATGCGTTGCTGTAGGGCTGTTAGTCCAGACACGGACACATTGTTTTCTGCAGCACGCGATAGTTAATTGCAGGCCCCTCATTAGCGATCAGTTTCAGTTTCGGTTTGAGAGAGTTCCAAAAACTCGGTGCAACTGTCGCCACCTAGGGTGTGCAACTATTGACCACGTCAGCACACAGAACTGTGACGCACTTTCGCACGATCCGCAACAAGAATTACTTTCGAATAGGTAACGGCACTGGAATGTTGCGAAACAAAACTTTTTAAGCATGCGCCACGCACTCGCAAACAGCCGCCGGGAAATACAGACTTCGGAAACTAACGCGGCAGAAGTAAAAAAATAGTGGCTATGACGTCATCATAACTTGTTTTGTTGACCGCAGCGTGGTGACGTGAGAGAAGTATGCGGTCACCTCGGGTATAGTGCCTAGAATATACTTACTAGTGTGCCGACCACGGCCGTCGTGATGGCAGGGAGAATGATGCCTTCCACCAGCGGCCACCAGACAGCGATAGCCGCAGGGACCGTGCTATACCGAGCCAATGGCCCAGCGGCCAGAGCCCGAGCGGAGTTGTGTCGGCGGCGTCTCTACCGCGGCCGTGTCTCTGCCAACGCGCGCGTGGCGCCGATGGGCTCTCCCAGCCGACTTTAAGAACGCTGGTTGGGAGGCGATGCGTAACCAAAGCTATATTTTTTCGTTGCACATTTACAAACGTACGTACACCCCGTTATCATTTATACGGTACACGATATCGAGTGTTTGATCAAAAAATTCCCAATAAATTAATGAACACGCGTGGTTTCTCAGGAAAAACGTCAACCTTAATGAATTTTTCTATGGCTCAAAGGTAGGGTAAGTTCTTCGCATGAACTTCAATTCTCCAATGACGTTGGCGCTAGCTCAACTTATTAAATGTAAATAGTTTAATTTCATAACAAATACGGTCCGAGTGCTACAGCAAATATCGATTTGGTTTTCATTTTTGAGTATTTTGGACACATTTATCGAAACACCCGGTACCAATGCGGATATTATCGATGGTTCAAGAAAAAATTATAATATTAACGCAACAGCATTAAAGAGCTCATTTCGTAGAAATGCCGGTGTTGGCGACGCCAGTTTATGCGAGAAGTAATCATGGCCGTGAAAAGAAATCGACAGCTGCAAATAACATGCAGGATACAAATTATTAGTTCCAGCTTTTCACGGGAAATTTCACGGATCGCACCATAGACTGTAATTTTGAAAGAGCGCTTATAGTGTAGCAATCACTAAAATGTTTCTCACTAACGACAGCCGCCGCAGTTAGTCTTTGATCCTTTCGCTTTATGTTTTTATCCTACTCGGCTCAGCGTACTGGATCTGCAGGGCCGCTGAATAATAAGATGCGCTCGTTGTTAGAGCAGTATCCACTCACACAATATGGAAAAAAAAAACGGGTGCTCTCCTTGCGTTTACTTTTCTGCGACGACATCCCGGTTTCGTGAAGGGACACAAGCGTGAACATCGCGCACAGAA